GGACCTCCACATTCCTTAGCATCTTCACAGAGATCTCTGTCCCGCATGTAAAATATTAGTAGATATGATTGATTTCCCTGTTCATCGACAGGTTTAAAACTTTAAAGTCCAGAAGCTTAGCACATGAGTGTATTTAACCCTCACTGCCCAGCATTGTGTCAGGGAAACAGGATTTGAACACTTGTTGTCAAAGACCATATTCATTCAGACCAAACCAACATACCAATGAGAAAAAAGGGGGCATCTGGAATTGAACCAGAGACCTCTTGATCTGCAGTCAAATGCTCTACCACTGAGCTATACCCCCTTACATTAACCATGCTCCATATTCCCCAGTGTTTTCGCACAGAACTTATTCTAAGAATGTAGATGAACACAATTTGGTCAAAATTTAAAGGTCTACCGCTGAGCATGTGACCCACAAAACCGTACTGCCCAGGATGGTGTAAGGATTTAAACTCTTGTTGTGAAAGCCCATCGTCTTTCAGACCAAATCCAACATACTAATGAGAAAGGAGGGGGCATCCGGATTTGAACCAGAGACCTCTTGATCTGCAGTCAAATGCTCTACCACTGAGCTATACCCCCTTGTGTTCAATGATGTTCATGTTCCTTAGCATCTTCACAGAGATGTCTGTCCCGGCATGTACATATTAGTAGATATGATTAATTTCCGTGTTCATCAACTGGTTTAAAACTTTAAAGGTTTTCGGCTGAGCACATGAGGTATATTTGACCCACAAAACAATACTACCTAGCATGGTGTCAGGATTTAAAGACTTGTGGTCAATGCCCATCTTTGTTCAGACCAAACCAACATACCAATGAGAAATGTGTGGGCATCCGGATTTGAACCAGAGACCTCTTGATCTGCAGTCAAATGCTCTACCACTGAGCTATACCCCCTTACATCTATCACACTCCATATTCCCCAGTGTTTTCGCACAGAACTTATTCTAAGAATGTAGATGAACACCATTTGAAGGCCTACCGCTGAGCATGTGACCCACAAAACCATAATGCCCAGGATGGTGTAAGTGTGTCAGGATTTAAACTCTTGTTGTCAAAGCCCATCGTCTTTCAGACCAAATCCAACATACCAATGAGAAAGGAGGGGGCATCTGGAATTGAACCAGAGACCTCTTGATCTGCAGTCAAATGCTCTACCACTGAGCTATACCCCCTTGTGTTCAATGATGTTCATGTTCCTTAGCATCTTCACAGAAATGTCTGTCCCGGCATGTACATATTAGTAGATATGATTAATTTCCGTGTTCATCAACTGGTTTAAAACTTTAAAGGTTTTCGGCTGAGCACGTGAGGTATAATTGACCCACAAAACAATACTACCTAGCATGGTGTCAGGATTTAAAGGCTTGTTGTCAAAGCCCATCGTCTTTCAGACCAAATCCAACATACCAATGAGAAAGGAGGGGGCATCTGGAATTGAACCAGAGACCTCTTGATCTGCAGTCAAATGCTCTACCACATACAGTTCTGCAACTGTGCATTACAATCACTTTTGAGAAGTTTTTGTTCAACTAATAACTGCTGCCGTAGTTCAGAGCTCACCTGCAACAGTGAGCTCTGAACTTCAGGGTGCAGGGTTTTGCTCCACTGGAGGTACATTTGTTTTTTGTTTTTTGTCTGTGCCACTCTGAACTGGCATACAAGTTCAATAAAAGTTGGGCAAGCTCTTTATAATACTAATATTTTTGCACTGTGGTACATTGTGCATTGGCTGTGCAGGTTCATATATCCATAATGCAAGGGAGTAAAAGGCATTCCAGGTTAACAAGATTTTATCCATGTCTACAAGACACAGAAAGGCCAAAATATTATTGAGGTTTTTTTATTTACATATAACTAAGAACATACTGTGGCTGGAAGGTAATGTTTTTTTTTTTTTTTTTTTTTTTGCTGCCATTACAAACAATTATCCATCTCCCAAAAGGGTTCTTGCAGTTCATTCAGATAAATGACCTCAATGGAATGGATAGAGCAGTGCAAACACATCTTGGGTCAGTTTACATGACCCAAAAAAAAAAAAAAAGATTATGTCCAAAAGAGTTCCATTACATAAAGCTGGAATGCATGTTGCTCTGAACGAAAGCTGTTCCCGTTGTCTGCGGCAAACAGCAAAACGGCGTGAAATAGGCAATAATTCCTGGTCTGCTGAAGCTAGACCATTGCATCACGCTTGAAAAAACATTCAAGCAGAAAAGGACACACAGGACGACAGCCCTCCACGCCGTCATGAGTCCACATTCCACATCTTGACATATTAACGACGCAGCGGGCAGGCAGAGAAAGAAAAGGGCTCTTATGAAGAAGAGGCGGTCTGCAGGAAACGTCGGTGAAGGTGGTTGGCGCCCTAACGACCCTTTTCCTGTGATGTCACGTGGAACTGGTGAGCCTTGGTTTTGCTGAGTAATTGGTCTGACATCACTGAAGGCAAAAATAATGAATAAGTTACTCACATCTTTGCAAGAACAGGTCTGCTGTTAAAATCTTTGTAATAGTTGATTCTAGTCCATTTGGATATTAATTTCACAGAGTTTGCAACAGATGGAAGATGGAACATGTAGTACTTCTCTGCTGAGTAGGTTTTGGTGAATGGGAATTAAAATGTGTGTTCTCATTTTACTTGATGATTATTATTCTTAGCAGCAGCAGTAACACAAAACAGCACAAAATGGCAATTTTGAACATTTTTTGACCTTTTCTGATTCCCTCAATGTTCCTCCTCTCTTCAATACTAGATTAGATATTTTTTCTTAGTTTTTTTGTCAAATTATTGGATTCTAGAACTCTACTGACACAGAAATATGCCAAATCCTCAGTGGTTTACCATGTTTGAAGGAATTAAAAGCAGATTGACTGGAAATCTCTAAATATGAAGCTGAGATGTTGTGAAACTGAACAGTCCCACCCTCAGGTTTATTCCCACCTTCACCTCGACATATGTCATGTTACCTAGCAACTGTGATGGCAATAAACACAAAAAAATGGAGCTTAAAATTTTGCTGATTTTTATTACTAATTAAACCTTTTTTTATTAATAAGCGAATTAATTATGAAAACATTTTTCCCCAAAAATGTTATTTATAAATATGTCTGTGAATGATAAAAGTCTAACAACACATCTGCTTAAAGCTTTTGTGTTTCATACCACCAAGTTTTAGTATGCGACACTCTGACAGGGACATTCAACTTGCAACCCAAACTTAAAGCAGCCTTCAAGACGAGAGGATTAGAAAAACTCCAGAGTGCTCAGCAGCTCAGCGGCTCTGTTCCTGGAAGGAAGTTTTATAGACAGCGATGACTGACGTCTGTTTTGACTGGGAACATAATAATCCCAGTTCGACCTCGTCACATGCCCACAGCTGTAACCGATACTTTGTTTGCATTGTTTCATGCGATGACATCATGTAACTGCAGTCTGGACCTGCATTGATGGCAAACGTCGCCACAATGTGTCGGGAAACCTTTAAAAAGGATTAGAGTTTCAGCATGTGAAACAAATTTTAGTACCCATGCACCATGCAAGACTTAAAGAAGCGGTTGTAAATTTTATTTTTCTGTTTGTCAGATCTACCTTATCTTTTGAAAACAGCAATTTAGCAACAGAGAGAGTCGCCTACTTTGGAGATTTCTACATTATTCTCGCCTGTTTTGCTGATTTTGTTTTCCATAAACATACAGGATCTAAATTACTAGATAGTGGCATAAATCCTGATCTAACAACACGAAAAAGGTTGACTGTACAACATGAAACATGGACTTAAAGGAATATGTGAGTTTTTTTTGGCGCTGAAATGTAAATAGTAGACTTAAATGAACAGGGATTCAGGATGTGGACTGGTATGAGGTCAGTATTTCCATGCAGCTCATTGCTTGTTTTCTGCTGGGAAAACAGAATTAAATTCAACATAATAGCAGCAGAGATCATTTCTAAAATATTTTGGCGTCATTTTAAGCAAAACTAACTCTGAATGCCACTTTCTGTCTGAATATCGGGTCAAGCTTTGGATTATTTGCTTAGAAATGAGTTTAACAAGTGCAGGTTTGCTCCATGAAACCAAACGTTTGAATCCCATGAAATCAGCCAGGAGAGAAAAAAAAAACAACATGTTTTCTCTGAAAGCAGCTCCTGCATGAGAACGCCTGGCAGAACCAAAAATAGCAACCCAATCAAAAGAAGGAGGAATTATTGTTCAAATGCGAACCAGCTGTTGGTAGTGTAAACGTTCGGTCCCCTGCCTCTGCTCGTTACTTTGATGCAAAGAATTTGGATGAAATCTGAAGAAACTCCTGATTTTCTTAAGTTGCGCATGGTTCCATTTCTTTGTTCATTTAAAGAGACAGTTCATCCAAAAACTAATTTGAATGTAGTTCATGCATGCAATTTATTCTGTTTTAAAAAAAAAAAAAAAGACAAAATTTTCTTTATTTATATTGAGCCTTAAAGACATTTTTATGCATTCATATTTTTTTGATTTTGCAGACATCTTGGTTTAATAATAACCGCTAGCATACAGATATGCAGAAATAAAGAGATGGATGTGGATGTTAGCTTGTGCAGCGGTTTTTAGGAGTCTCAAAGATTCCTAGATTTAGGCTGTGGTACCTATAGATGCCAAAAGCAGGGACTAATCTAAACTGTAACTGGTGGTCTCATATGTTTTTTCAGAAAATATTTAATTTGACCCGGCTGAGGTGTTTTTTATAGAGTGGGATGGTTTTATGAAGTCTTATGGATGTACTGTAAAAGCCGCAAAAGCCTCCCTTCCCAGCTTGAATTTGACCTCAGCAAACGCCGGCTAACCAAAGTCAAACCCTGCCTTTAAATCTTTCTGCATGTGAAGAATGCACACAGAGGTCCAAGTCAAACGAATATCTTCCTCCTCATCGTGATATATAGTTGGTGCAGCTGGTTGGGTTTCCCTTTTTCTTTTTCTTTTTTCTTCTTTTTTCTTCCCCCTCCTCCTCCTCTTCGCTCTCCTTCACTGCTGCAAACATAATGTTCCACTGGCGGTTTTCTCTTGTTTTCCCCTCACTTTACTCTTGCATGGACAGATCCAGTGCTTCTAGTCTCTCCGCGGGTTCTGACCCACCCACCTGGAGATAAAAGCCAAAGATTTTCACCCGAGCTGCTGGAAAGCGAACTCCTCGGAGCTCGGCGATACTCCCAACGCCGCCGCTGCAGCCACGGTCGAAGGTAAGGTCATCTGTCACCACTTCCACTCACGGATGGGATTGTCCATCGCGGATGCGTTCACTCGAATGTTTGATTCAGGTTGTTGTTTTTTAATAGATTTTTCATGACTTTAAAACGCAGTTCTGGAATCAAAGAGGAAACGGTTTGTTGTGGAAGCTTTTGCATATCATATATGACATATTTCTTCATGCAGAGAGAAAAAGGAGTGAAAATCCAGGAGATCCACCTGGGAAGAATAACTCTGGGTTGTGCTTGTTAAAATAAATGAGCTGTGCAGCATCTTGACAGGATTGAGCACAAGTTATGGCTCAACATGTTGGGATTGTTGCTCCGCACATCTGTCAGCAGCACCGCTGGAAAAATGTCGACGGGTTTCTGGTTTTTAGCAGCGTGAAGAGGAATTGAATTTTCAGGGCAGATTAGAGGAAAACAATTTCAGTTGTGAGCTGAATTCTTTTTGCTTTTTAAGTGATAAAACAGGATCTGTGGAATTTAGCAAATGGGGCCTGAATTCTGCTTCTTTTCCCTTTGCTGTTAAAACATCGGGTTTGGGCTTTATACTCTTATGGATAGTGAAGAATTTCTTCGGTTCCAGCTGAAGAACATGCTTTACTATAACAAGCTTCACAGAATGTACAGTATTAGTTTCTTAACAGCTCTTTAATGGAACATAAAACCTGAAAGCTCTGGATTGTAAGAAATGTTTTTTCGGGTTTTCACCAAGCCAAAAAAGGAAAAAAAAAACTCTTATATTTCATAAACTGTTGGAGATCTTGTAGGACTCACAAATAACGAGTTTTTCTTCTACTTCGGTAACATTTTGTTTCTTAAGATACTTTTTTCCTTGTCTTTTTTTTCTGAGACTAAGTGGAGAACATTTGTTCCAGAGCTCTAAACTCAATCCTATTACATCGCTCTGTTTCCTTTTTGGAAGAGAGCACGAATCTGTAAAAAAAAGAAAAATAATAATAAAATCCCTTTTCATCCTCAGCTCTCTACCAGACACCTAAATGTTTTGGGTCAACACCGACTTTAATCTGTTGATGTTCTCACATAAATCCTGTGTTCTATCTCAAGCCGCCACCATGTGTCACCGGGTTAACTCTGTGCTTTTTGGTGATACTCTATGTTGTTTAGCGGCAGATGTTTTTGTGCCATTTGGAGTTGCGAATGAAAAGTCTTTTAACAACTGCCTATCAAACTCGATTCTTAGAATCCGGAAAAACCCTGCCATTGAAAGGAAACACTGGATTTTGGGGGGAACTTGAAGGACATTTGTTCGGTTTCCTGTCAGGAATCCGTTTCAGTGTGGGTCACAGGTACTGCGCGTTTCTGAGGCGCATCGCACTGCCTGAAGCTGGTTGCATTCCGCCGTCTGCAGTCTGGGTTCTGGCATCACACGAGCTCCAGCTTTCCAGCTTCTTATTAGACGCTGCTGCTCAGTTACTTACAGCCGTACATGCGAGTCCAAACAGTCAGCGGAGCGACCACCGGATGCAGACGAAAAGCTGTGTGACGGGATTAGGAAAAAATTTTTATTTTTATTTTATAAATGAGCAAACCCTAACTCTAACTCTAACCCTATTAGTGCAGTTATTGTGCTCGAGAGGTACATTTGAATATATACTTTTGAAGTTTTAAAACGGGGTCACCATTTAGGGCTCTGGCAGGATCAGGGAAACCTGTGAGGCTGCCCAGCTGGGCTCTGCATATCATTATATTTTTATTTTTCTAACACATCATGTTTGGTAGTGTGTCACCACGTGAATGGACTTACTTTCACAAGCAGTGCGTAATTGCGTTCACCGTGACGCTCACTTAAACACCCTCAAAGTGTCTAAACTCAAGAAACCCGTCTTTTTTCTTTAACTTCAAACCTGAGGGCAGTGTTTCAAATGTGCATGGTCAGCAGTTACCAGATCTCATCACCATTTCTCAAGAATGAAACTTGTCTAAATTGATGTCATATGCAAATCCTAAAGGTTCTTCAACAAAGTTAAAGTCTGGTTTCCTCTCGGGTTTTTCACCTCCCCAACAGAAAGTATTTGCAAACCTCGGAGAGGTTGTGTGTTCACCACCATGCAGATTGTTCCAAACATCTCCCCAAACAACAAAATGACCTGCAGACTTCATGGCTGCACTTTCACTGCAGGTCCACTTTTATTCACCGCTACTTCAGCTGCACATACAGTTGCAGATTTATGGCAACGTTTTCTCCAAACCCTAACTAGACAGAGTTATAACTTTTATAAACTCTTATTCAACTGCAAAACAACCTGGAGAGAAGGAAGAGGGAGAATCATATTTTAGCTTTTAGTGACAGCTTTTATAGTTGGATCTTGTAACAGACTGAATTTTTTTCAGTCATGAATTTTGCGATTACTCATAAAAGGCTTCATTCAAGACGATACAAACTTGAATATGTACATTGTGCTCCTGAGCGAAGGAGTTGAGGCATGCATGTAAAGTGAAATCACTCAAATTCAAGGTAACGTTTAACAACCTGACCATTACTTTTTAGTGTCTGCCTCATTCGAGCTCTAAATCATCCTCTTTTCTGTCCTACTTTCTTTTCTTTCTTGGTCATTTTGACCCTCCACAACTCGTGCTGTTCAATGTGGAGATCACCAGAGGGCGCTAGCAGACCCTCAGAAAGCTTGAGGGAAGCTGAAGGGGGGGAAAGCTCAATTTAAAGAAAGTAGCCAATAAATTTTATTTATTCATCATTTTATTTATAGCCCTGCGGCAGAATGGCAACCGTCGTTCGCTGGAGCAATGTTTTGTAACATTGTCTTTGTGCGAACAAAGCTCCTTTAGGGGTCATGACGTGGAAAAGCTGGTGAAGCCAACAATATTTTCATATTCATATTCTGAAGCTGCATTGCTGATGCCCTCAGATTGAAATGTGGGAAATCTTTTCAGGGAATTTGTGGTTTGGTTACGATTAGATTGGAAAAGATGTGATTCATGCAACATAGCCTCCCCAAATGAGAAACAAAAACGCAAAGATCATTTTTCCTTATGCCCCCCCCTCAGTTTAGATAACCATAGCCAGATGTTTTCTTTCCAAAGTTAAGTAGAAGTAGGTCCTCATATTATCACCAAATGGTTGGAGGAAACACCGATCGGGCCTTGCTGGACGAAAACTCTTGATGACTGGACTGAAATAGGAATGCAACATCAGTGTGACTTGGTCACAAAGTTGCAAAAAGCAGATTGCTGTCAAGCTAAAGTCTGTGCTTACAGATGTGTTCAGTGTTTTGTAGGTGTGAGTGGCCATAAAATTCTTGTAGTATCATCATACTACAAGATGATGGTATAAATTTACCCTAACCACAGACAACATGAGGTAACTGCTCTTGCTCGAAATGGAAACGGCAGAATTAATCTCACCACTGCTAAACCAATATAATAATAACAGTTTTAACATTTATTTATTTAGATTTTCATGCAAAAATCTTGTGGTCTGTTTTATCAGCTTGTTTTCCAAAACAGTTTCAAGAAGCTTCTGTGGTGTGAAAATTTACAAAACAAAATCAAAAATTTTATTTATTTATTTTATTTTTTTTTTTTGTAGTTTTTATTCAAAACATTCAAAATCTCCAGTAATGAGCTCCATATTTAGTACATCTTCAGGCATTAGCCGTTTTGACTCGTATTCACAAAGCTGAGGAAAGGTTTAAATGCACCAAATTCCCCAGTGGAGTCTGTGGTTTTAGCATAGGATACATTATAAGATCTGGTTATTGGCCAAAACACTTTCATTGCTTACAAAAATATTCATCCACTGGAAGGGTTTTTCCACTTATGAGTCAGTGCAAATATGAAAAATAGCTGAAAAAATGAGGAATGTGGCAAAACCACCCTGCAAAAAAAAAAAAAATCTGATGGTCAAACTGAAGGCTCAGAAATGCAGACGCGCCTGAGATGTCGTTTCCTTCCTGCTGTGTGAGAAAGTGGAACATGTCATGAGAAATAAACTCTAATGTTCAAACTGGAGTGTGCAAAACTCAAAGCTGCTATTAACTGCGATCCACAGACATCAGATACTCTGTTTTGACAGTATTTGAGGGCTAAGAGGAACATTTTTTTCCCCAAATGATTTAAGTTTTTTGGGAGGGGGCGGGGAACCTGGGATGAAAATCGTAGCTAGACGTTTGGTGACTTGTGGTTCTGAACGCTCCAAGAGAAAAAGAGAAACTGTAAGGAAGATGGATGAAACTGCCTGATTTTCCTATATACTTTTTTTACTGACTTTCACTTTTTAAACTCTTGAACTGAATATATGGTCCAGAAGCTCTTAATACAAAGAAACTGAATACAGACATGAAGGAAAGTGGAATGAGAGGAAATCAACATTGAATTTCAAGTGATGGAACTACTTTGTATTTGAAAAGTGAACTATGAAGAGAGAAAAGAGAGAAGAGAAAAGCAGCTTGTGATGAACGTGGCTGTGGATTGTGGAAATAATGGCACAAATCTGGCCTTATTTGTTTGAATAATTAAGTATTCTAACAAATACAGTTATCATTCTCTGTTAGAAATAAATAAAACAATTCCAAAAATGGACTTTGGCGCCCTCTGCTGCAAGTTTAATATAACATCATATGTTATATGATCATAGGAGTTGAACACAAAGGTTTTGTCCTTTTTACACAATGATGTTTTTCAAATGTACATTTCTTTTCAGTATGACGAAAGTACCTCACAGATACTGAAAAATAAAATCACTTTTTTTCAAAAAGTAGGATATCCCCGGGCATTAACAACATCAATAATAACTAGAACATTTCAGAAGAAATTTAAACAGGTTCTGCCAAAGTGTGCCCGTCAATTGGAACCCAGCATATCTGATGCTACAAGTTAGCATCAGATGGCTGTGATTTTGCCTAACCCACACATTTTCCCTAACCCTAACCATTCAGAACCCTAACACTCCACATAGACTTTGCATATAAACCAGATTTGACCGACGCTCAAAACGTGTTTGATGTGAATGCTTCATTAGAATGTCCAGCTTCAATGGTAACAATGACATCAGCAATGATGACATCACTCTTTGATGCATGGAATGAATCTCCCTCTTGAGTGTAGCACACAGACTGTGCTTCCCGTTTCAGACTTCCAAGTTAAAAGTTATGAATCTTATACCTGAGCATTATAAAAATGATTTGAAGGCAGAATCAGCCCAGTACAGGTTCACATTCTCAGATAAGAGAATGGTATAAAGTTAACATTTCGGTACTGGAATTACACCGAAGATAAATTAGTTTAATCAAAGCATGTCATAAATATGTGTGCATGTACTCCATCTAAAATCCAGAGTATGCTAGTTAATTTTTTGTTTTTGCTTTTGCCACCAATAGATGATATGCATATAAGATATAACAGCACTATTCAGAGATGCAATGAGTTTATAGCAGCTGTTTCACCATGTCTGTATTTCTAAAGAGCAGCTCTGAAGGGCAGACTAAACTCAGAGCTGCTTCCACCGTTTTGTGTAAGTTAAACTTTTGTTTTGAGTCGAATTTGGCTCAGTTTTTGTGTCTGTATCATTGAATAGCTGTAAATGACCCTGATACCGAGGAAATGGAAAGATTGTCATTCCATATAGTTTAAATTGGGCCAAGAAATTGTAATAGTCATACACCAACTTTGTGGAGAATGTTATGTCATTCTATTGGAAACTGACATGCTATGAATAACCAAATAACAGTCAGAGTGATAACTTCATGTCTGTTTAGTTGCATAGAACATATTTCATGGTTGTTTTGAAACGCAGGATTTTAAAATATCTGCCACAAAGTCTGGAAATTCTGCCTGTAAATTGACTTTATAATGCAGAAAGACCTGTGAAAATAATGCCAATATACTGTAAAACAGTTGGAACAATTCCACCATTGTCACAGCAATGAAAACCATTGACCAAACACAAATGTCCTCAATATCCATAATACAGAAAATGTTTACATTTCTAGGTCCTGACATTAGTTTCATTGAAATATCTACCTACCTTATGTAAAAATATGTACTCACTTAAGGTTGATGTTAACTGAGATCATGTAAGAGAAAATATAAAAACTGAGTATAATAATAAAAAAGAAGTACATACAAAATATAAAAAGAAAACTAGCTGAGACAAAATGGAAAATTTAGTCCCAGTGATAATGTTAAATTGATTATGTTGAAATAATCTATGTGACGATATATTATCAAATAAATTGGTCAAATTTATTTTTGTTTTTATTTCTTGGATGCAAAATTAATTGAACTATTTATTTATTTCTACTGTTATTCCAAATTTTGACAAGATCAGTCCTCCATGCAAACTGCTACCAATATACAAGATAATATTATTAGAAAAAATTTTTTTTACATGTTTAAATGATTAAAGATTATATTCACCAATTCACAGCACTAATTAGATTATTTTATATGTGTACACATTGTCCCAATCCTTGAGGTACACAAGGAAAAAGGGGAATTCACATCCTGGTAAAATAGAGACTTTCTTCTTGTTTGACACTTGTGGCGCCAATAACTTCTGCTGCATGTTATAGTAAATTTTTTTACAAAATAGAATTTGTTGTTATTTGTGGCAAAAAAAAAGACCTATTTTTTCTTCCTCCTTTTCCACAGAAAATGATGGCTGTACCTCTCCGTTTCTTCTGCCGTGTTGTCTTTCTACTCCAGCCGTACGTAATGAACACAGTTGACGGGGGAGCGTATTATGGACCAAAGCAGCCGCAGCAGCAGCCTCAGCCCATCCCGCAGTACAGCGATGACTTTCCTCAGCAGCAGTTCCTGGGGAACGAGATGCCACATTCACCTTTCAGCAAAGGGATCCCGTCACTGTCCCAGTATGGAAAAGATGCTCCACAACTGCCCTTGCCTTTGCAAATTGGAAAAATGAGACCGTTGACAAAAGGCAAAGGTGATGTTTACACAAAATAAAAATTACTCCATTTATTCGTTTTTAACAATATACTTATCAGAATCCTAGTAAAGTTGCGTGTGGCGTTCCACAAGGTTTGGTATTGGGACCTCAGTTATTTATTCATCCATCCATTTTTCTATTGGTGAATTGGTGTGTGTACACACCACACACACACACACACATCTCAAGGCTAACCTAACCCCGAATTAAAATCAAGAAACACCCATAATCCAAACAATGACATAAATTGTAGTGGTCTACTAATATTTGATAAAAAATATTGAAGTCATTCGTTTATGTATTTGATTATTAAATCATGATCATGTATGTCTGTTTTCACTTATTCACAGGACAAACTTTCCCAAGGGGATCTAAAGGTCCTCCTCCTGTTCCTGGGGGGAAAGGTTTCACAGACGGACCTCAAGGCATTGAAGGCCCCCCTGGACCAGTGGGCCCACCAGGTCCTCAAGGCCCCCCTGGGCTTCCAGGACAGGGGATTCCTGGATCACCAGGAAAGCCAGGTCCCCCGGGTGCTCAGGGATACAGGGGAAATGGAAAACCTGGAATGCCAGGATTGCCTGGAAAACCTGGAGGCCCTGGATTGCCAGGAGCAAAAGGGGATCTTGGACCAATTGGTGGTCAAGGGCCAACAGGACTTACCGGGCCTCCTGGACTCCCAGGTCCCACTGGTCTCCCTGGAATTTCAAAATCAGGAGGTCAGGGGTTACCAGGACTGCCAGGGCAACCAGGAGAACCTGGCCAAAATGGTCCACCTGGGTTTCCTGGTCCTCAAGGTCTAAAAGGTGATAAAGGACTTGGTCTGCCTGGTTTTCCAGGTGTGAATGGACCTGGTGGGCCACCTGGTCCACCTGGGCAAGTGGGCCTCCCTGGCAATGGCAAACCTGGTCTGAATGGTGTCCCTGGACAACCAGGATTTCCAGGAAAACCAGGTCCTCCTGGAGAAGCAGGGCTGGTAGGAGCACCAGGTCAAAGAGGGCAACCAGGACTTCCAGGCATACCAGGGATAGGAAAACCAGGAAACGATGGTGTTAGAGGGTTACCAGGGTTCTCTGGAGGAAAAGGCGAACCAGGCCTTCCTGGTTTAATTGGACCACCAGGCTTGCCTGGTTATGGCAAAACCGGATTTCCAGGGCCTAAGGGCCACAAGGGACATGCTGGTCTTCCAGGACAACCAGGCCCAAAAGGTGACAAAGGTCAAGTAGGTCAACCTGGAGTTATTGGTCTAATTGGTTTGACAGGAATACCCGGGGCACCAGGGCCCACCGGGCCTCCTGGTAGTCTTGGCTTCCCAGGACAGAAGGGAGAAGATGGCACATTTGGCCCTAGAGGAAATCCTGGAATGAAGGGTGAAACTGGACCTGCTGGTCTTTCAGGACAGCCAGGTAGGCCAGGAGAGGGTGGACAACCTGGCCAAAGAGGATTCCAAGGGCCAATAGGGCCAAAAGGAGAACCTGGGGCTCGAGGTTCACCTGGTGCCCCTGGTACTGCAGGATTACAAGGACCAAGAGGAGAGGGAGGAGAGTCTGGAAACAAGGGCCAACCAGGCCCACAGGGGATACCTGGACTTACAGGACCAGGGGGACCAATTGGACCTCCTGGTCGTCCAGGACAAAAAGGTGAAACAGGACCAACAGGTAACCCTGGTTATCCTGGTAATGGGACCCCAGGTACCCCTGGTCAAATTGGTCCTCAAGGAAACCCTGGTCCCAGTGGTCCTTCTGGACTTCCTGGACAACCTGGCCCTCCTGGTCCTCCAGGTCCTCCTGGAATACCTGCTGAATCTCCTGACATTATTCAATTCCTCCCTCACACAGGCCCCTACAATGGACAAGCTCACAAAAAGCCAGGCAATGGAGTCGAAATTAATGGAATCAAGCAGCAGATTCCTTCATTCACCGCAAAACTGACAAATCCATTCCCTCTAGTAGGTTCCCCAATCACATTTGACAAACTTCTCCATAACGGAAATCAGGACTACAATCCTCAAAATGGTATTTTTACATGTAGTATACCAGGAATCTATTATTTCGCTTACCACGTCCACTGCAAGGGAGGCAACGTTTGGGTGGCGCTGATGAAGAACAGTGAGCCAGTAATGTACACTTATGACGAGTACAAAAAGGGTTTGCTCGATCAGGCTTCAGGAAGCGCCGTGCTCCCATTGAGAAAAGGAGACACTGTTCATGTAGAGCTTCCATCAGACCAGGCAGCAGGACTTTATGCTGGTCAGTATGTCCATTCCACATTTTCTGGATACTTACTGTACTTGATGTAATAAGTAGTAGGCCATTGTCATACATTGAAAGGGAAAAGTACTCAAGACTCAGTGTTTGTAGGCTAAGATAAGGGAATATATTTAGGAAAACTCAGTGCTTCCTGGTGTCAGTTGCCAGGAGTAGAAAATATTTAAATATATTTTGGTGCAATTAACATTGGTTTCACTTTTACATGTTAGCAAGAGGTGATAGCAACATGCTACCCTGAGTTATTAGTTGTCATATGCACATAATTTGCTGTAAACCTGTTCACCTAAATAACTGGTTAGCATCACTTTATTGATTTTACTGTATTCTGTGCACATTAAGAACATAACATATTAATTAAGTCATTCATTTATTCACAATTATACTGTCGACATATGTATTTTCCGTTGTCTGTATGTTTTGTATATAACTTGGCACATGCAGCTGGTAAAATATTAGTTTGGTTCAGTATTATATAAAGACATCAAACTGCATCTACATCCACAAGTTGACAAATTTTCCTACATGTCATGCACTCTTTTTTTTCTTGTTGTCATAATGATGATTATGCACTTCTTTAATTTATTTTATTTTATTTCCCCCCAACTACTGATTACTTGAATTTGCTTCATTTGTGTAAATGAATTTACTTCAAAAGTGTGACCGAAACAATGCGGAAGGCGAAAAATAATCTATTCAAAGACACATTTTTCAAGCAAAACCTGCCAGTTTTTCTTCATGTCTTCAAATGATGTGTGTCATTTTGGAATAACAATTCTTTGTACGTTTCTGTAGGCTTAAAGCGCCTCCAAAACATGTGAATTGTCTTGTGTTTCTCTGAACTGTGAGTTGGCGAAAGAATAAAGCTTTTAGGAGTCGCTCTGTTATGTTTGTTCACAATTATTCTCTTTGTAGACTTCAAGTGTATCAACTATTCCCAATACATAAATATTCCTCAAATGGAATACTTCTCGTTCGGTATTCCCAAGCTAAGCACGGTTGAGATGTGACAATGAGGAAAGCAAAAACACCTTTACTGTACATTTACAATAATTTGTTTCGTTCCAGTTGTACTTTTTTGTATTACGAATGGCAAACTGGTAAACACTTCCGGCATTTTGGATGTCGGAAGTGACGACACTTGTAAACATGCGCACTAGAACCCTTCTGTGTGACTGAATCCGCAAAGGCATGAAACGTCATACATCCCATGTAGCCTTGCGGTCAGTTAGCTGCACCTTAACTGTTACGCCTGAAACACATATATGCTTTATATAAACACCAAGGCATAACAAGGTAAGGGCCAGTAACGGTGGACTGTGAACGTATATATATATATATATATATATATATGCACGAATACGTGGCAGGTGTTTGAGCTTCGGTGGCTAACGCGTTAGCCAAAGACTCGGTCGCTTCAAGAGCATCATTCCTTTCACTGACGCTTTATTTCGAACTAGTGTAACAATAATGTTTTTGAGAAAAGTTGGACTGAAACGCCTTTTAACACTTTTGAGGATGTTGCACTTAATATTTCAGGAGTAAAATGGGAAAGGCACACAGGCTAACTTAGCATGCTGACACCGAAAAGTGAATGAAACAGCTGCTCGGCTAACGCAGCTAACACAGCTGTATGTAAATTAAACTAAAAGGTTAAACGCCTGGGTTCGTGACACATGCAACAAGTTAAAGTGGCTAACGCTACACATTAGAAGTGAGAACTGGAAAATATTACACAAAGTGGTTTCTTAAGTGTATTTCATTGCTCAGAAATAAAAGGTCAAATCCTTTCGTTGTGGTTTTTTACTTCATTTGTTTAATTTTTCTAAATCGTATAGGCTACTTTTTCCCTAAAAAAGCCACTTATCATTAAGTGCAAGCTCACTTGGCTGTTGGAAGTTTCATTTGCATTAACTTTTTGCAGGTGAGTTTATTTGAATAAGGCATTTGTTCAAACGTTATTTCCCGGAAATTGCTCAAGGCAGGAGCTCAGAGGTTTGGTTAGTTGTCCATTAATTTCCTGTTTTACCTGCAGGTCCACCATGGCTTCTCGAGCGGGTCCCAGGGCGTCTGGTACCGATGGCAGTGACTTCCAGCACAGGGAGCGTGTTGCTTCCCACTACCAGATGAGGTCTGGGCAGTCTCTTCAGCCCTCCCTCCCCCATCTCATTTATTATACAGCTAACTTAGTTTGTTCTAAGCTATGCGTTTTTCTTTTTCAATTCAGTGTTGCCTTGAAGTCCGAAATCCGTAAACTGAACATTGTCCATGTGTTGATCTGGGTGCTGATGGCTGCTCAGGTGAGAACAAACATTAGAGCAGGGGTGGGCAGTCCTGGTTCTCGAGTTCTGGTGTCCTGCAACTCTTAGATGTCTCCCTGGTCCAACACACTTGAATCCAACAGCTGAATCACCTCCCAAGTGCGGTCAGGTTCTCCAGAGTTCTGCTAATGACCTCAATATTTGACTCAGGTGTGTTGAAGTAGAGACATATCTGAAAGTTGCAGGAGACCAGCTCTCGAGACCTGGAGTTGCTCACCCCCGCATTAGAGGACGTCTTATTTCGCAGCAAGCAGAGTCTCACTGTGTTCTGATGTTTCCAGGTAACTGTAAGCCAGCTGAGTCTGGTGTCTCACAAGGTAGTTGCCTCTCCGTATCAGTGGGAGTACCCCTATCTTCTGAGCATAGTCCCCACAGTCTTCAGCTTCCTGGCGTTGCCGCGGAACAACATCAGCTACCTGGTGATCTCCATGATCACCGCCGGGCTCTTCTGCGTGGCGCCGCTCATCTACGGCGGCATGGAGATGTTCCCTGTGGCCCAGCAGCTGTACCGACACGGCAAGGCGTACCGCTTCATCTTTGGCTTCTCCGCCGTGTCCGTGATGTACCTCGTCATCGTCATTTCTGTGCAGGTGCACGCCTGGCAGATCTACTACAGCAAGAAGCTGCTGGACCAGTGGTTCACCACCACACAGGACAAGAAGAAGAAATGACTTCAGCTTTGCTGGCTGAGGAGACTTTGAGATGCTCTTGTGCAGCATCATTTTCTATATTTATTTTGACAGTGATTTAATTATGCTTCTAAAAATCATTGGACAGTTTGTGATTACTGCTTTCCCCTCCCCCAATGAGTTTTTATGTCATTTCAATGTTAAAAAACTGTTAAAAACAAGTGTTTTTGTTTGAGCCTTGTTATTTTGGGTAAAACTGGATGGAAACACAGGGGGGACAAAAAGGTTTAACAGTTTACAAAGAATTTATTTGCATTTTACATCACCTCACAGCCATACAAAATCAATACTTATTAACTGCAAAATAAAACCCACCATATTTCCCACATCCAGTGACTTGATTCATATTTGACCAAAAACCATAAATGTTAAGTACAGGTAATATTCTAAAGTTTATAATGAAATGAATCCTCCACCAATATCACAAAAATCACATTAAACTCCCAACCACCAAAATCCTACACTAATCCTAGGGCCAAACTTAAGATTTATTTTTCTATTCTAAATTAAGTCATATAGTTAGGGATATATATATATATAGGAAAAAAGCTTAATTATCAGTTTCAGAGAAAGCCTTTAGTTCTTTCTCTGAAAGGGAAACAATTGATTCTACCAACCATTTGATGTTTCCTTATTTGTAAAACCAATTCAAAAGGATAACTTCAATAGCTCAACAGGAATGTTTCTTGATTTTTCATGGAAGAGTTCTCAAAATTGCTTAATTCTTCTAATATGACTTTATTCCCTTATTTTTCCTAATAAAATGAATCTGTAGCTAAGAGCTGAATATGCTTTTGATTTCCAGCAGAAGTTTCACCGCCATAAATGGAGCCAACATTCAGACACCCATTGATGAACTTTAGCTCACCCACTTCATAGGACAGACCCCTCCAAAAAAATATATACACATTACATAGTAACGAACGCATGGGAGTGTTTCACTGAAACAACAATCATCTGCCTTTTCTGGGCAAATTTCCAATACATAAAGCTGACTGTCTGACTGACAGTGTTCTGGAGTTTTACTTAAACTTGACCGTACTTCCCTTTGAGGATCTGCCGCACCTGCAAAACACAAGAAAACTCATCGCTGTAAGGACTCTGTTTTGATCATACACAAGGTGTTTCTACAAAAATAATGAGACAGAATATTGTAATGGTGTCTGTGTTGCGTGACTGAAATCCTCTCAGGCGTTTACCTTTTCACCGACGGATCCTTCAGGCACCAGCTGACATGGCAGCTCGTTCTCGAAATTCCTCATCCCGGGATCGGCGCCCTTCCTCATCAGCAGCTTCACGGCCTCCACCTGGTTTCTGTAATTTTGCAGCGAGCTGACGATGTGCAGGGCCGAGTTTCCGCTGAACGTCTGACACGAAGGAGAAAAGGCGTCATTTCATGACTGGTGCTTGTAGGACTTTGTGTCCCTTCATTTTGTGCTTACCTTCACGTTTACAGCAGCGAGAGACATTGGCTGTTCAAGAAAAAGGTGGAGCAGCTCAATATTCGCCTCCTCGGCAGCCATGTGAAGGCAAGTCCTTCCACTTTTCAGATCCTTCAGGCATAAAGAAAGCAGATTTAGCTGTTTCTACATCATTACAGTCGAGTTCTGCGATCTTTGTGATTCTGCGAATTCTTCTGTTTTGTTTTTGTTTGTCATCACTCGTTTTAGATTGTAACAACTGTTATAAACCATAAATTCTGTTTTTGTGCCCAAAAAGCTGATGCGCACTTGTGTTGTGCAGCAGGGCCATGAGTCAGGAAGCTGGCCTCTGAATCACTTAAAGATTCACGCGTCCTAGTCAAAGTCCCAATGAAGATCACTTTCAACTCTTCGATTTCAGAACAAGTGCGCGACACAAAGAAGAGCCAACGGATTTCTCAACAGTGACACGATGACGACTCAGCAGACATTAAAATTTAGGTGACAAAAAAACATCTGCAATACTTACTTTTGTCCCGTAGGAGGCGCCCATGTGCATCAAAGCCCTGACACACTCCACATACCTCCGCCTCCTCAGGGCCAGTTCTGAGATCATGAATGGACAAGGGTTTTCCAGGTGCCTCACTTCCTTGACGACGGCGTTGTGAGCCAGAACCGCAGCGTGAAGCGGAGTCAAACCTTCGAGTCACGACAGATCCAGTCATATTTCACAATACCTCCAAGAAAATATGCACCGGATCAAGATTCTCACCGTCATAGTTGAACATTTCAACATCGACCGATGGGCCGCGCCCTGCCAGGGTTTTGCAGATGCTCTGCGGAGAGGAAGTTGATCAGGATTTTTTTTTTCCACATCAGCACTCAAAGGTCATTTATTCACAGAGTTCAGTTAGACATTAACAAAGAGCTGCAGGGGACGGTTTTGCATTTTCCACTCAAGCCGGGTTTCCTCGTAGCAGTTTCATGCAGATCTAAATCAGGTGTTGCACAAACAGATCTGACGACAGATCTGTTTGTTGCTTTGTTTAGGCCGTTTATAGCCCAGTCATCTGTGGACGGACGTATCCTGAACATGTTCCACTCTCACCAGGAAGTCTGAACGCCATGAAAGACGAATCCATCTCACGCTACACTTTTAATATTTGCAGTTTTAATTGGAATCATCGGCTGATCACTTTGGGATCTAAATTTCCTAAAACGCGTTTCAATCCAGAGATCATTAACTTGGACCGTTAAAACTCGTTACGCCTATTTGCATGAACTTTGACCTGTAAAATCAGGTCATGACCTGAACTGAATGTTTATCTAACTAGCTGTAAAACCTTCAGCTTTTATTTATGAAGTTAATAAGGCTTTTTATCACTTAGGTCGAGGAAAAAAAAAACGTTTCATGAAGAGACATCCATTAAAAACAGTTATTTCAACATAACCCCGCTGTCATGGCAACCTCTCGTGAGGTGTTCAGGTGTCATCAGAGGTAAACAGCTCAGATTTGCATGATGAGACAGCAGCCAAAGCAAGCAGGTCTCTGTTTATTGTGCTCTCATTTCCTGGTTTATTCGATCGCACAGCGATGGGTTCCATTTTGGCACGAAGGTTCCACCCTGACCCAGTCGAGCCAAAACAAAATCGCAGATGTAGGTGGAGCAAATACCTTCTGATTATTGCATCAAATCTCCAAGTTTACTTATGGAACGTTTTAGCAAGTGGAATTAGCCGAAATTTCTTTTTCTTTAAAAAGCAATGCAGTTATCAGTTTATTCAACTGATTGAGTTACTAAAGAATTACCTGGAGGCTGAGGTAGTGGCCTTTCTCTGCACACACATGCAGAGGAGAGCGCCCCCACAGGTCCCTGACGTTGATCTGCGCTCCGTGACTTAGAAGGTCAGAAATGATCAGGTGCTGATTGGTGGCCACCGCGATCTGGAGAGCCGTCTGAAAACACAACATCAGTCCTGCTTCGTTTGACATGAACCTGAACAGACGAGGTCGTGACGGCGGCCGTACCTGCCCGTTGTGTTCTTTCACGTCCAGGGAGCCGAACCGAGCCATTTTCGCAGCGAGGACGTAAGAGAGGGCTCGCCTGCCTTGAGCCACCGCTATGTGAAGAAATCTACACCGCAAACAGTTGAGAGTTTATCAAAAGTTGAGAGTTTCATCTTTGATAGGAGATTCAAAAATGTGTCTTTTCAGCTTCACCTAACTTTGATTAAATCAACCTGGGATTTCATCTGAACAAACGTCTTTCAGTTTATGATATGTTCTGCAGCAATGCTTCAATTAAAGAATCTGTACAATTTCAAGGGACGGTCCCAGCCACACGGAAGTTAGGTTTGGCGTTCCACAAGGCAGCCATCCAGGCCCACTGATGCCATCCGTCGCTGTTTCTTGTTTGATTTATTTAGGCGTGTCGGGAGACAAGCTCAAAGCACTATGCCCTTCTACGCAAGTGACAGACTGATAAGGACTTGGACTAGATCCATATTCTTGTTCCTGGTTATGAATTGTGGCAGCATAAGATTGTTTTATTAACTTGTTTTAGTGCTAATTTGTACGTACGTGTCACCATCCGAGTCCTGCATGCAGAGCTGCTCTGGAGACAGACCTTCAGCCTTCTTGGCTTCTTGTTGTATCTGCCAGTGAAACAGAGTCATCTTCCCTCCAGAGGCCGGGACGTCGTGCTCCTGAGCGGGAGGCTGCACAGGCTGCGGCGTTTCCTGCAGCCCCATGACGGCATTCTCCGGGAGGGCTGGGACGAAGCAGGCGGCAGGGTTCAGGTGGAGAGATGTCGGAGAGGTCGCCATTTGAGGACTCATGTCTGCGCCGATGGGTTCGTATTTGGGAGACTTTAATTTAGGCTCTGAGTTCCATTTCTGCTCCGAGTTCCATTTCTGCTCCGAGTTCCATTGCTGAAAGAAAACCAGACCTAAGATGTCATGAACTCATAAAAGACGCGATCCTGTGGGAATAGAAAGTATGAACACACCCTTTAAATCTGCATAACTATCTGCAGAAATTGTTTTCTGTTCCTACTTCCTTCAGCTGTTCTTCCTCATACATTAGCAACTTCAATATTTCCTTATAGCTCAAGTAAAGCTGCATAATGAAGTCATGCAACTAACCTGCCGTCTCATCATTAGCAGCTCCTTTACAGTGGTCGTCCTGTGCAGATGCTGCAGGGATGCTTGTGGTTTAGCATCAAATATCATGCAACCTGAAAAACGACACATAAGGTATAACAGTTAAACACTGGATGTTGAAACTTTTACTTCATACTATTTTTCTCAAGGATTTAAGACTACTGTTATAATTCAACATTAATAATTAAAATGATACCTTTTGTCACACTGGCTGATGTCACGTCTCAAATGATAATCATACAGTCAACATATGCAACAATTTCTGTCCTGAACTTTTCCTCCCAAACAGCTTGAGTAATGATTACATGAGTTAATTACTGACTTCTGTCTGACCCTTAAAAGCTTAACTAGGACCTTTGGCTAATTTGACCAAACGGTCACTTGACTGTAATTTTAATGAGTAACACTGGCGCACAAGAGAACAAAACTTCTCAAAATGGCGTCGACTCTGTCTTTTGATGTGCTTAATATACGTCTAACTGAACAAATTATATGTTTGGTAGATAAGGTGTTACTTCAATTTACACGCCACTTCATACTTTTACCCGTGTTTGGCCAGTGGCAGGTGCTAATTTCCACCTCTACCCAGGGGCCAAAATCAGCCCGGGGGCCATGAATGTATTTTGGACACCTCTGTTGGGGGCATTAGGCAAAACCTATACAAGCGTGCTATTTGCTATGTGAGCTCTTACAAGTTTGGGAATTTGGACAAAAGAAAAAAAACAAATACATAAACCACATTAAACATGAGGCAAAACAATTTACCTGCAAAAATATAAATATAATAAAATATTTGCAGAGTTTTATCATATCAACTTCAAAAATAATAACAGAAGGCATTAAAAATACATATAATATACATTTTGATTTAACATGAAGTTCCTATAAGAGCTTCTACAAACGCACCTTCAGTGTTGGGGCTGAATTTGAAGGAGGCTGACAGAACCTGACCTGCCATCAACGCACTTCCTCCATGATCCAACATGCTGGCAGTTTTATTGAGGTCGTCTAAAAAAAAAAAAGAAGAAGCAGTGCTTCTTGTTTCCCACTGGTCCCACACCTGGAAGGCAACACCAAGCACTGAATGTTAACTCCGAGGCGATGAACACAAGATCAAAAATGAGGAACAACTGTCACACAACCTCTGGCACACACACCTGGGCCGACTTCCTGGTTTGCAGAAGGATCAAGTAGCTCAGCTGCGCATTTAAAGTGAGATAAATCTTATAAATGCACATCCATAAAAGCTTATTTACATGAAACAAAGCAGAACTAATATAAAACTCCAATAAAAACTGTTCCAAGTATTTCCCCATAGTCAAAAGAGACGCTCAAGATCATTTTACATGCAAAAAGGTTGAATTGTTTGCACACAAGGTAATTGAAAAGCACACAGATGAAATGACTTTATGGTTAAAGTGTTTTTCTTAAGGAAATTGTTCCTAAACTAAATGAATAATTGTGAACCTACCTGTATGGCTCAGTCTCCCTCTGAATCAGCAGTGCAACACAAGCAGCTGACTGGTTCTAACATGACAGTGAGAGAAGTGAAAAGTTTTATTGAGCTGTTGGGAGAAACTCCTCCTCCCAGCCAACCGGTCCTCCTGTAGAGGGGATTTCCCCTCCCACCTCACAGGTGGAGCTCACCTGAACTGAACAACAAAACTTAAGATGTTTGGAGAACCTGGAGATTCAGACGTTTTTTTCTTAAAGGGTAGAAAATATATTTTAACATTGAAATTTCGTACATATTTCTCTTTTACCTCCCTAATCTCTCTTACTTTTGGTATAGGTATGTTTTTTCGGCAGCTCTTCATTTTTTTTTCTTCCCAAAATGAAGGGCAATGAAAGAAAGAATGAAGAATGAAAGAATGAAGAAAATCTTATTTGGAGTTGAGAAATTTCAATACAAAATGAAAATAAAATCTCTACCAGACTAGTATCGATCCAATGCGAATGTCGAATCAGTATTTCTTTTACTGATATTTTGGATCAATTCAGCCAGTTAGTGATAGAACTGAGATTGTTTCAAATGTTCCAAATCTTTCCTGTTATGAACAGCAGTTGATACTTTACTGCATCTACTATCTGTGATAGAAGTAAGTTTGGTCAAGTAGCTTATGAATATCAACACACCGTCATATTTAAGGTGCTGTTTTCTTGTCTTTCCCATTTTGCATGTTCAATTCAGCGTTGATGTGGATAAGTCAACCAGTGTACGGAGATCATGTGTCTTATTTGAAGGCTTTATCTGCTTCTCTTTTTCTCTAAAAGCAGTGGGCCGCTGCGTTTTGTCAGGTTAGGGTCAGGGGTTACCCTCACCCTAAAATGAGAAAATGGTTTAATTTGGGGATTTTTTTTTATCGCAGCAAGAAAATTAAGGCGAATTTATTTGTCACACACACACAACAAACAGCACAGACTCAATTTAAAAAGACTTCACAGTTTTAATAAATTACAGCGTGAATTTACATGACGTAAACGCACACATACACACACAAACAAAAACATACACCTCTTTGTTCTGGCACCGAGCAGAAGAAGCACCGGCCCGTCATAAAGTCCGCACAGATGAGGAGCAGGATGGGCGACGTGAATACTGACAAATTCAACTCCTCAACCTGAACCGAAGGGAAAGGAAGTCCCAGTTTTACAGTAAAATATTTCCTCAAGCGTAGGCTTTTATTCAAATGACTGAATACATCAACATCTTCTCCCACCATCCTGCGGCCCTACAGTTCCGATGTGTGGGCAGAGTTTGCATGTTCTCACAGCGTCCGACCTGCATGTTTTCACTTCAAGGTTTCAGGCTTGCGAAACGTTTCAGCTGTGGGATTTATGTGACAGTTTCTGTACGAGTTTCGCTACATTTTTTTTTTTCCCCCACGGAGCTTCACCTCTACAAAAAGCCTCAAGTTTATCCAAACGCTTCCTTCCCTTTTGCTGCACACATTTGAACGTGTTGACACGCTGCTCGTACCAGACTGAAGAATTAATTAAAGTGCTCTAAAAAAATAAAAATAAAAATCACTAGTGAGCCCCCAGAGCACAAAACGTCCAGGAGAACAGTGACATGACAATCCATACTTCAAGAACATTAGTTTTAGTTTTAGTTAGTTTCCACAATAAATAAGTCTAAAATTCCTATCTACATTGTAAAAAAAACCCTGGCTAAATTAGTCTTCTTCATGCCGATGTGGTCTAATCTGCTAGAGATATAGAAAGTAGAATAAAAAAATTGTTTTCTGTTCAGAGCGGTCTGGATTCTTTATTCTCCTGGAATGGTTTGGGAGCAAAGAGTGCAAAAAGGAGGAGCTGGGTGTTGGTTTCTGTGGCGCGCCTCCCCTGGGTCTACAGGCGACCTGAAATCAGATTGAGACACGACAGAACAGGTTTCAGAGTCAACAGGGGATCGTGTTTCAGCTAGAGCGTTGTTAGGTGATTAAACGTTATCTCGGGTGGAACAAAAATTGAGACGTTGACAAATGATTGACATCTTTTTTCCAAACGAATCCTCGAAAACAGCCGGCTTAAGGTACGACCGAGACGCTGGAAACTTTCAAGTTTATCATCAGGTTGATCGTTTTGAGAGTTTGAAAAAGTTGCGTTTGCACCAACAGATTGACTGACCTGCGAGATATTTGGCCCCAACCAACATCAGCATGCTGCCAATGATGTAGAATCCCAGCGGGATACTGCTGAAGATACTCGCTCCCTCTGTCAGAGAACAGGGAGAACATTAGCCAACAGCTGCAGTCACACATTTACATCCTGACTCATTGTTTGTTGGAGCAGTTTGTTCCTCAGAGTGGCAGAGTTATATAGAACAACTTCAAATCTCCCTCAAAACAAGAAGGGATCCACTGATTTGAACGGAGTTAAGGTCGGAGTCGGTCCTGCCTGGTTTCATGTGATGATTTTGATCTGAGGCCAAAACGGAAACGATAGGAAGTAAATCTCTAAGACGTGAGCCCAGATTGCCCTTCCAGTGTGTTCCAACCTGGTGAAATGTTTCATGAGTCAACTCAGTGCTTTTCTGTTGACTAATAAACGCATATTGGCTCAAATTAGCAGAGAGGTTCGCTTCAGCCCCTCCAGCCTCCACAAACCGTCCTGTGTGTTTCTGACAGCTGGAATGAAGGAATAAATGAGCTCAACAGCTTATCTTCAGCTTATGCAGAGGCGTATTAATAACGCAGGACCAGCCAGACCAGATCTGGAAATGATGATCTAAGCAGATTATTTGGAAATACAGGGAGGGACGTTTTGGTGTGGCAAGTGGAAACACTGGAAAAGCACCCCGAGTTATTGGCTGAAAACATACAAATATTTGTACTCACTGCTCTCAGAGTCCATATTGTGCGTGGTCTCCCAGTTCATGGATCTCCTCACGGCTTGTTTCCACCTCGCGTAGCGAAACTCGCTCTCTGCGTGCCACAATCACAGCCGCATCAACCCGACCGTGTTCGGACGTGGGATTTTTTATTTTTATTTTTTTACCTTCCAGTTTGATCTGGGGCTCGAACCGTTCTGACGTGACGGCACTCAGGTCCTCTGGCTCCAGGCTCCACACCCTCACGCCCTCGGCCGCGCCCGCCGCCATGGCCGCCCCCAGAGCCGTGGTCTCCGGCATGGTCGGCTTCACTGCCAGCAACACAAGGTGGAGAGTTTACATTCAGTAAACACATATTTGAAAACTTTGGATTTTCTAGATTGTTTCTTCTTTCTGTTTTCTACCAAAGAAAAATATAATATACATTTTTAAAATCGCCATTGGCCAAAATCGGAATCAGCACATCAGGTTTTTTTAAGAACTGATGATCGGCCAGAAAACAGCAATCTACTAGACGGTCCGAATACTTTTTCTGTTCTAATAAATATGGACACAGTCTTTAAGTTAAGATTGTTTCCAGTTAGGATAAAATGAGCTGAAGAAGCAGATTTGATTTTGTCCAATGATCATCTAAACGAGGGCCAGATGTGCAACAGCAGCTAAAGCTGCTTCTATAAAGCATCGACTCAGTGGGGATGAATTCAGAATTCCTCTGTATCCTGTGCTGATAATATATCCACATCCTGCAGCTGTTTTCCTCCTGAGTTTCCCTCACCAACAGAAATGCAGAGAATGTCGGCCTGCAGTTGCATCAGCAGCTTGTTGGTTGTCATTCCTCCGTCGACCTGCAGCTGAGTGAGAGGGATGCCACTGTCCTGATTCATGGCGTCCAGGATCTGCGTCCAGACATAGATCATTTCTCTTATTAATTCTTTTTTTTTCACACTTTCTGAGAAGATTTTTCAGGCCGAGCCCTACCTCCCGTGTTTGGAAGCAGACGGCTTCCAGTGCGGCAAAGGCCAAGTGGTTCTTGTTGGTGAACTGAGTCAACCCACAAATGATCCTATGGAGTAAACGTCTGAAGTCAGAATAATGTCGCTTTATCGCGCTGCGCCGTAAACAAGGTGTTGCTCTTACCCTCTGGCGCTGGGCTCCCAGTACGGAGCGTAGAGCCCGGAAAACGCAGGAACAAAATAACAACCGTAGGAGGTGCCGACCGATCCGGCCAACTTCTCTGCAGACACGAGGAAATGAAAGCAGAAAGCAAAACTATACATCTAAAGCGACGCAACAATGTAAAAAAAAAAGTTGCAGTCGATTGATGGAGGAAGTACCGAGCTCATCGGATGACTTGATGATTCCAAGGTTGTCCCGCAGCCAGCGAACCATGGCTCCAGCAATGGCCACAGATCCCTGGGCAGCAAGACGACAGGAGAAAAATAAAAAAGTCTCATATTTCAAAATAACCACAATTTTATTGCTATTTTTAGGTTTTAAAATAGATACATTTATGTTGTGATATCACAATATTTTTGTGGTCCTATTGCGATAATGATAAAAATGACAATAATGACTTAATATTTCTTTTTTAGGTAACTTTGTGTATGCCTGTGAGATTCTAACAATTAATATGCTTCTTTCTGACCCCATTAACACCGTAAGTGTAATTTCTGTCACTAAATTGCACACATCAAACATGACAAGAGTTCAGAAATGTTACTGTACCTCCAGGGCGTAATAGGTGGGTTTGTCCCGGCCCATTTTGTAAGCGATCGTCGTCAGCAGACCGTTGTTGGACATGACAGGCTGCAAGTCGACACATCACTGCAGTTTATGCACTTTTTTTTTCTTTTCTTGGGTTTGTGTGAAATCAAAACTAAATTACCTTTGTTCCAGTGTTTCGCAGGAGAAAACATCCAGTTCCATACCTGAAGGAATAACGGAGGTAAAGTGTTGCTGGATTTCTAATGGCAGGATGGACGTTCATTTAAAAGACAATTTACTGAAAAACCCAGCAGGGCTAAAGAAAGCTCATACGTGTTTTTGACACTTCCATCTTGAAAACACATCTGACCAACGAGAGCAGCTGACTGGTCACCAAGACACTGGTTCAAAAGAAACATTGTAGTTTAAATAATTGCAAGTATGCATGAATATTTTGAATTTAAAAAAATGACAGACTTACCCCGGAGATGGGAACGCCTGTCAGGGCCCCGGCTTTCTGTCACGGAGAAAAACAAATCCATGAGATTCAAATCCAGCTTTTCATTTGCAATCAAAACTGAAATCCATTTTCACTTAAATCTGAGTTTCATCTCCAATTAATTTCGGAGGAGAATTGAAATGTACACAGACTGTGTCTGAATTTGAAACTTCAACTCAAATCCAGCATTTGGTTCTGGTCTTATTGACCCGATCCCCTCAACGTATAGTTCAACTCTTTACAATTGAAATGAAATGGAAAAAAGTCAACACATCTTAAACAACGTTATAACAAGTCTAAACATGGTGAATAAACAAGCTCAGGCGTAGGAAAATAAATCACTTGTTATCTGACTAAACAAAGTCAAATAACAGGAAAGCAGCCGACTTCTACCGACAGATAGAAGGGTGAATCTTTGTTAAATAAAGTCGTCACTCCCACATGCACAAGAGGATTAGAGGTTTACACAACGTGAAAGGAAAACTGTGAAGAGATGAAGGAGAGGTGTGTGAAGGACGACCAGCAGAGCAGTCAACAGCGACAGCCACCATTCCAAACAATCCCAACAGCTGAAACGGATCCAGGGTTAGTCTCATAGTAAGAGTCGAGTTTTAACAAATACAGAGTCATCAAGATGATTATTCTTATTTTTATTCAATTTAGTTGGTTCCCTAAAGATTTAAGGAAAAGAAATGGTTCATTTCAGCAAAATTGGACTTTAATATCTTACATGTTTAAGTTTAAGTCAAATATTAATATGTAATATTTCAATCAATTGTACATTTTTAAAATATTTTCCATCTGAAACATTTATGTAAAATACTAAAATATTTCTATTAATAAATACAGCATCAGTGCAGACTTGAAGTCTGAACTATCAAACAAATATTTGCAAATAAGTTCATTAAATAACATTAAAATCAAAGTGACAAAACAGATTTTTAATCTTCAAAAAAATTTAATACCGTTTGGAAACACTAAATCTTTAAGGTGCAGACCTTTCCTCCACATTTGGAGTTTTGGAATGGTGGATTTATTTGCCGGCAACGGAAAAGCCAAATGGGTTACATGGTGAGTGAAAGAGTGAGGATGAGTTAACACTTACCCAACAAGAGCTTATTTTCTAACAGTGAGAAAAACAGAGATAATTGCACAAAAGATGCCTAAAAGAATTTATCACTCAAACCTTCATGCACTTCAGAAACAACCTGAAAAACATTTCTTACACAAAACTAAAAGATAAAACCTGCGATGTTATGCGTCATTTCACTTCAGAATCAGTAATATTTTATTTTTAGAATTGAACTGCACAAAGAAAGTCGTCTTACCATCAGGCCGTATATTTCCGATGAGCTCCTCACTTTTGGCAAGATGTGCATAGGAACACCAAAATATCTAAAAAAGTCAACCAAGGAAAGAAATAATTAGGAGAACGTTCTGTGCTCTGGAAGTCCTTTGTAGGATTAGGATTAGGATTAGGGTAAAAATAATAGTTTTTACAGTTGTGTTCCAGAAGTTTTTTATAAAAAACATAAATGTACACAAAATAAACATGATAAAATAAAAATTAAAATCAAGTGCAGGAGCCATACTTGCAAAGTTCAGTGTCCCAGGCCATTGTGTGAATATTAAACAGCATGGTTCTGCTGGCGTTTGTCACATCCGTGCAATGGATCCCGTCTGTTTTCCCCCCTGTCAAACACTGTTAGGAAGACATTTGAAAGCTTTAAACATCGTTCCATCTACTCATTTTACAACTTCCACCAATCTCTACAAAAGAGGTGATGCAGGAAATCTGTGAGGACCCAAATAAGCCAGGAGTCTATGGTGCCGAACATGGCGCGGCGAGAAGCCACGGCCTTTTGGACGTCCTCCACATTGTCCAACAGCCAGCGAAGCTTCACTGCGCTGAAGTAGGTGCTGAGCGGGAGACCCGTTTTATGCTGCAGGAAGACAAAATCCCCATTAGATGTACACCGAAACAAACAAAAACAATAAATCACAGGGAAAGAAGTCAAGTCTCAGTCTTACTCGTAAATGGTTTTTGTCCCTTCCTGGAGTTTTGTCTATAAGATGCTCAACCGTTGACTGAGTTCGCAGGTCCAGCCATACTAAACAGGAACGCAAGAAAATCTGATCAACTCGTTGTACATGCAGCTACAAATTATTAGCATGAATTTCGTGTGCTGCTAGTGACGTCTAGTTGAACAATGTTAAAGAATGAGTAGAACCCACATCCCTCAATGGGTGATTATGCCACCCAAACGTTTACAGTCTTCCAAACGCAGTTCAACAGTGTATTAAACAAACGGTTGCTACAGAGATCGGTACCAATGGCGTTGTAGAGAGGCTCCCCGGTCATCTTGTCCCATACTACCGTGGTCTCTCTCTGGTTGGTCACTCCAATAGCTGCAGCAAATTAAACACAGTAATAGCACATGGGAAAACGTCAAACACAATCTGAGCACTGAAGATATTAATAAGTATTAGAAACTTTAAGAATTTGCTTTCGGCTTTGCGACCGGATCAATAAACGACTTCCGATTAACTCTTCTATGTTCTCATTTACGTTTTTCACTAAATGCTCATGTTTATAAAGTAGAAAGAAAGTACATTGTCTTTCATTGCAAGGCTTTATCATCCATCATCAATTTATTCTCACTGGAACTTTATTATAGTAATATTTCAATTGTATTCTGTTATTAATAGGACTTACTCAGACAACTTTATAGTCATAATTCTTTCTTTTTTCTTAGCCTGGTCCTGATACTCGGTCGTGATATATAATTGTTGTACCTTTTATTTTCGACACATCGATGTTGAGCTGTGTGAGTTTTTCACACGTGCGCTCAATGCACTCGTACACCGACTGCAGGATTTCTTTGGGATCCTCCTCCACCCATCTGGACAAGAAGGAAGATGACCGGGACACATTAGTTGGACGAGGTAACATCGGACCGCAGATGAGAGACCGGCCTTACCCTTCCTTCGGAAAGAGCTGCTTGATTTCCACTTGATGATGGCTGAGCAGCTCTGCTGTTTTTGAGTTGAACACCTGGAAAATTGAGAAAATAAATAAATAAATAAAACATGACGTAATTTATAGCTTGCTATTAAATGTACCTACTATGAAAGATCATTTAATTAAAATAGCACTTAAATGATTGGCATTTGAAAACAAAAACCACACAGCCTGTGTCGGACTTCATCGCTGAAACGTCACAGTCAAGACAGTTCAATGTCAAGACAGCGGAGGCGGCATGTCACAGTAACATGTCCTGGATGACAAGCACTGCTTCTCCACCTCTTTTTCTTTTCCCACTGCTCTTTTAAATCTCTATCCGCTTGTGCAGTCAGGGAGTCTGGGATGTGATCCTGCAGCCATGTCATAGTCAAACACTTTACACTACATTCTCTACGCTCCTGTTGAGCCCTTGTGAGAGCTTGGAATTCATCCAACATCCTTCAATCGCAAGTTGCCGATTAGAATTAGAATCCCTTTACTTTCATTGTACGAAAAGCAGAATGTGTCCATCAAGCCTGAACTTGACTTCCATCAAATTCAGGATTGATAGAAGGGATGATTTGAACTTCGTCCTCTCTTCCTTTGCTCCTGCTTTGCATCCATGACGCCTCCTTTTCCACTCCTTTGGGATTTTCTGGCTGCATTTCTGGCATTTATTCTGCTTTTACGATGTTAATCAGCTGCTCCTTGTTGTAAACCACCTTGTTGCTATGGTTATGCATCATAACAAATAAGCAAAGTATAACAAAAGTGTTAAGAAAAAGCAATCCGGCTGCACAGCATCCAGACCTCATATACTTACAATGTAAATCACGACAGCTAACACTTTGGGGTTTTGTTCATTTAAAGGCAATATAATAATAATAGCAATGCCTTCAGAACAGGCACCTATACAAACTACTGTATCTGACAGCTTTCTGTGAGAAACCACATAAGAGAACAAGCTCGCCACGTTCATTTTCTGTTGAACACACCTCCTTTAGCCAGCGTGAAAGCTAAATATATTAGACCGGTCAAGGGCATTTCCAGCTGTGACACATTAAAAGCGACCTCAACGGTTTTCCCTCGCGAGCTCAGCCTTACCAGAAAGCGAGTGGAGCTCGTTCCCTGGTCGATGGCACCAACCAGCGGGCCCATGTTTATCCGGTTCGAGGCAGCCACCGTGGAGCTGTTCTATGGGCCGTCCCGGGAGCCGAAAACCCAATTATCAGTGCGGGTGCGGGACAGTTGTTGCACTATGAAGATTGGGGCGTGCCAGCGCGCGGTCTGCCGCGAGCTTATGACGTGACGGTTTCAGTCGCTCTCAAAAAAGACGTAACCATGGCGTCGTTTACAAAGAAAAATAAATAAATAAAAAATAAAGATTTTTTTTATTTCGCTTTTGTTTTAGATTTTGTGACGTTTTTAGGAGTATCATTAAAAATGTATTGTGTATGATAATTGAATTTTATCATAGTGCGTTTTTTCAATTATTCAGTTGTTTCAGTGCACAAAGTGAAATTGTAAGTTATGTGGAATACGTTGTTGTTATCAAAGGGAAATTAAATATAACTCTTATTAGTGACGATTATTCAGCGAGTTATTATAGAGATGGCTTTACTTCGAAAGTAACGACATGACAGTAATGCCTTAAACTACAATATGTGCATATGCACGAAAGTGCGTCCTGAAGAATGCTGCTGAAAAAGACAATATTCTGTAAAAACTTTGCGTTCCCATACCGGGAGTCGAACCCGGGCCGCCTGGGTGAAAACCAGGAATCCTAACCGCTAGACCATATGGGACTCGCTTATGCCAGCACGGTGACCGTGTAGTTGTTTCCGTATACTCCACCAGGGGGAAGTACTCTATTAATGTTCCCTGATGTCAAACAAACGCGTCAAGTGTTAACAAAGCAATTATACTACAAGAAACACTTATTTCCTTTTTGTAAGTGACTTTTGTGTTTATTCAGCCTTAGATAAATATTTAACCTTCATACATTGTTTTCTTAATTGGACGCTGTTTGACTCGACGACGCATGATGACGCAATCATTAAAGGACAGTGTTGTGGCTGTTGAAATGTGGAAGGCAGTTGTCTTCATATTCATCTCGTTTTGACCAAGTGTTTTTTTTTTTACTTAGACCACACAGAACTAAAATGTACGTAATGAAAAACTCTCCTGAGTTTCTACCTGTCAGACCGGTTATATATTCAGCATTGTGTTTTACGTTAGCAACGAAGGCTAAAACTAAACGTTTTCTTCTTTAATGCAATCATTTTGTGAATTTCCAGGGCGGATTATTGGAAGTCACAACCGAGGAAATTCTGCCAGTACTGCAAGTGCTGGATTGCTGACAACAAACCTGTGAGTATTACAGAAACAAACCTCGTTATCCTTATATGGAGCTAATGCTACTACTTCCAATGTTTGATCTGCAGAGCATCGAGTTCCATGAAAGGGGGAAGAATCACAAAGAAAATGTGGCGGCTAAAATTTCAGAGGTGAGAATATTGATTTTATATATTTTTTTAAATTGTAGTTGCTTTGCTCATGTTATAAAAGTATATTTTCCTGTCTTACTAGTGTAAAATCACCTCAAAGACATACTAAACTTGTATTGTCATACAGAATCCAGGTAGAGGAAAACAGGAAGAAAACTGCAGCAGAAGCAGTTCTAGATTTAGCTCAGAAACTCCAGAAGACACACATAGCACCTTCGATTATCACTGAAAATAGAAATAAAACTATGTTGGACATAACTAACTCCTCAGTATATTCCCTGAAAACAGTTAAAAAGTTAAATAAAGATGAATAAGAAAAATAGCTTATACAATATTTATCCAGTTTGAATTGATGAAGCCAGGAATGCCATTTTACAAACTGGAAAAAGACAGCAAGAAAATATAGGATATTGCCATGAATGCATAAAGAATGAAGAAAATATGTTGTTTCTATATTGCTGTTTAGTGCTTGAATAAACATAAATAAACATGCCTCATTTGGCATCATTCTCAGGACTGGCAGTACAGATAAGCTCCAGGGACCCGCGTCACGACTGACACTGTCCTGCTATTGGCTGACCAGCAGCAGCCGCTCATCTGTCTCTGCCCTTCTCTGTGCAGATTAAGAAAAAGAGCGTTGAAAAGGCGAAGAAGGAGGAGCGGATGTCCAAGGAGTTTGCAGCAATGGAGGAGGCAGCGCTGAAGGCGTACGAGGAAGATCTGAAGAGGATGCAACGGGGATCAGATGGTGATTCAGCAACATTTTATTAAGTGTTTTTGGTTTTTATTTGGATTTAAATTGAGTATATTTTGTAGGATCAAGTTCTCCAGTTCGAGCAGCCTCTCAATATCAGCCTGTACCTCTGGTGGGACGTCCGCCCAAAAAGGAGCAGCAGCAGCAGCAACAGCAGAAGAAGAAGAAGGGATGGAAGGCGAGCAGGAAGTCCAGAGAGGGACCAAGTGAGACGCAGGTTTGGGTGGAAGGCCAGAGCGATGAGGGACAGACCTACTACTATAACACCGTGACAGGAGGTGAGGCAGGCTGATGCAACAGAACCTCCTGCTGGAACCCAGAACCATTTCCAGCTTGTTTCTCCTGTTCTGCAGTGTCTCAGTGGGAAAAACCTGAAGGTTTCCAGGGAGGAAGTTCAGCTTCTACTGAGACCCAGCAGTCGGAGGTACGTTCTGTCCTCAAGGTCTGGTTCCTGTGGAGCTTTACGTTCTAATCCCGTTTCCCCTCAGAGTTCTTCGGGTTCTCCCTGGATGGAGGCTGTGAGTCCAGATGGCTACACGTACTTCTACAACACAAACACAGGAGGTGAGGCATCCCTGCCTGAGCCCGGTCTGTCTTTACAGCTTCTATTAGTCATTATGAGCTCAATATTAAAGTTTTGTCATTTTTATTTATTTCAGTTTACAAGAAGTTTGACAGTTTTCATTATTTTATTAGTTTTAGTTAACTATTGTAACTTTGATCCGGAGGTCAACCGTGTGTTTTGTTTGTCTCCTCTTAAGAGTCCAGCTGGGAGAAGCCGGCAGACTTTCCTCCCAGCGAGGAACCGGAGACCCAGCAGGAGAAAGAGGAGAACGCAGGCGAGGACCCGGGTTCCCAGCCGGAGACGGCGCCTGCGGAGGAGGAGCGCTCAGAGTCCGACGGGTCGGCACTGGAGCCGCAGACGGTGGGAGAAGTAGATCCGAAGCCCGAAATCCCCAAAATCAACTTCAGGGTGAGATTAAATAAAAATGACGCTCAGGCGAATTTTAAAAAGCGAGACCTGACAGTTTATTTTTTGTTTTCAGAAAAGAAAAACAGAGGCTGAACCCTCGGAAAAAGAAGGTGAGGATAAAGTGTCAGAAGATGCTCTTGATGAGGAAAGGAAAGAGATAAAACCAGAGGAAGAGGCGCAGAGGTCAGGACCCAAACCAGAGACGGTAGCAGAGGTGGCGACAGTGGAAAAAATGCCAGTGAAAAGGCCCAGAGCAGCCAATCCGTACGGAACCTGGGAACGGGTCCAGCAGAAGCAGGATCCATAGTAAGTATTCCCAACCCGACACCTGGAATGAAGTGGACCACAGGTAATCAGCTGATGTTTTCCTGTCTGCTTCCCAGTGCTAAAGTGGATTTACAGCTGCCCCGGATGGAGGAGAGCGCGGCCGGCCCTCCGGCAGAACTCCCGTCGGAACCCAAACCCAAGTTCAAGGAACGCGTCATCACCTCTCTGGGAGAGGAGGGCGGACCCGCCTCATTCCGGAGGAACAAGACCCAAAACGGGAAGAACAGGAACCTCCGGCAGAGAGATGACGACGACGACTGATTCCAACAGAAGCTTCAGTCGGAGACTTTCCTGGAAGTAAAAGTTTCTGGGAACATGTCAATAGATTGACATAAACTTTTGGAGGAGGTTTTTTTATTTTTTTGAATGTATGATAAGCAGGATTTGGCCAAATTAAAAATGTAATGTATTTTTTATGCAATGAAGTCATGATTTTGAAGACGGGTTCCGATAGTTTGGGATCTTATTACATGGAGACAATCCAACATGATCATTTTCCAGCAATTAGAGGGGAATGATACCCACTCCAGGCCCAGCAGGGCGACTGGCCTCTTGGCACACACACAGGGTTTGACGTGGGGAGTGTGTGTGTGTGGAGCTGATAGGTGTTTTCACCACACCCTGACTGGCAAATGACCAGAAACGCATTCGGTTCAGCTTCATTACCAAAAAATAAACAGACGCAGCAGCATGGAGATGTGCATTCTGATATCCAGATGTGATGGAGAGAAGTTCCCACTCGATCTGGAATTTCATTGACAGCTACCCGACTTGTCTGTCCGTCCATCCATCAGTCTGCAGCCTGTCCGGTCACAGAGCTGCTGATCTCTACCGCCTCCAGCAGAGCCTCCTGCTCAGAATGCTCCAGCAGGTCTGAGATCAGCTCCTCCAGCTCCTCCCCTCCTCTCATGAACTCCTGAAAACAAAATACATGAGAGGTTCAACAGTTTGACTTGTCACTGGACTCGTTCTAGATCAACAAACCAGGTCAAGACAACTTCCATGACCCCTTCAGTATCTGAGAGTAGAGATCTAGCCATTCAGAGCTTCATCATCAAGTGGTGTAAACTTTACCCTAAGTTAACATTTGTCATGATCAAATCAGTTTTACAGTCAGACATGGATGCATATTAACATTTGCTTCTTATCTGACCTTAATGTCTCTGGTGGTGTATCCTGTTCGGTGGTCGGTGACTCGATCCTGGCTGAAGTTGTAGGTGCGAATCCTCTCTGCCTGGCTGCGTGTGCCCACCTTGATAATGGAGGAAAAGCTGAGCTTTGACTAGGCCTGGAACTTCCAGGTGTTATATTCGGGTAGCACAGTGGAATCCTTCTTCCACTCCAATAAACAAAATGTACATGCGCCTTCAAATTTTTAGAGAATCCAATGGAGAGACCCCTTCAAGCTTTTAGAGCAGGGGTGTCGAACTCATTTTCAAAAATTTAAAGGGCCAGGATGTACTGATAAAACTAATACAAATGTTAAAATATCAACAAATAGCTGCTTGTTTTCAGCATTCAGTTTCTTAAAATTAAATCATATTTAACATCTTTTCACAACGATGAGTCCATTCAGGACTTCGCGATTGTATTTAGCAACCAAAATCACAGTTTTTGTGGTGCTAATTTAGACATTTTTTAAGAACCTTTTATGGTATTTGTGCTACTTATGAGGTTAAATGTGACTTTCTATTCATCGCCGTAACTTGACATCAAGTAAGGCTGAGGCAGCAGTCATCTAAACTCAATATTTGTGGCCAATTTTGAGAAAAAATTGCAGTAAAAGTGAGAAAAAATACAGGAATCTGTAGATTTTGTGTGAACTGTAAGTGAGCTTGAAACTGGAGGGACTTATTAATGTCATTTGGAGTCCAGAGGGCCATATAAAAAGCTACAATGGGGCACATTTGGCCCACAGGCCTTGAGTTTGACACCTGTACCTTAGAGGAAAGAATTAAAACATTTAATTTCACATTGCAGACTCATCTAGTGTCAAAGTTTATATTTTTTATAGAGCTTAAACTTCCTTCTTTTATCGGAACAACATCGGAGACAGATTCTCAACAGTGTCCTGACCTGCTGCTTTCGCGCCGTGTGCCTTTGCTCGGTCTCCTTGCCCATCATGCTCTGGTAGAGTCTGGCCCTCAACATGCGCATGGCCGTGTCTCTGTTCTGCAGCTGCGAGCGCGTCTGCTGGCACTCAGATGTTATTCCTGTTAGGACCGACATGTTTATAGCTGGAACGGATCCTGAGGAACTTCAGGAAGATCTCTTGACAGACTGGACCTGTAGGAAGGTGAACTATCCGCACGGCGCTGTCCGTCGTGTTGACGCTCTGGCCGCCAGGGCCTCGTGACCTGAACGTGTCGATCCGCAGATCCTTTGGGTCAATGTGGACGTCCACCTACAGAGAGATTGAGGTTAGCGTCAGACAGAGAAACAAGGTAAAAGTTTGGGATGTACCTCAACTGGCTGTGGCAGGATGATGACCGACATAGTTCCAGTGTGGATCCGCTGCATCCTGGACGAGAGGCCCACCTCAGGGATCCTCTGAACCCGGTGCGTTCCTCCTTCATGTTTCAGGTGCATGTACACGTTATCCCCGGCTATCCTGACTGCCGCATGGTGCAGTCCACCTAGAGACAGCCAACTATAATTGTTCTGTTGTTATGTGTATCTGAGCACAGTAAAGATTGACTACAATCAATCAAACCCAATCGGAAGAGAGATTGTTGCATTTCGTCAATTTTCAAGCCTAGTTAAGCAACGTTGGCCACACAACTTTAGGATTGTTCTTTTTACTGAAATGTTAAGAAAATCTAATTGGTGCTATTATTAAACTCTTTCGGTTGGGTAGCCTTACCGTATTCTGCAGGCGAGTAGTTCAGAACCTCAAAGTCCCAGTTCTTGTAACAAGCAAAGCCTCGGTACATATCAAACATTTCCCTGGTGAACTGCTGGCAGATGTCACCTGAAACAGAGCCGAGAATCATCTTTCGAGAACCGATTTTCATTTTTTATTCGTGCATTTTTAAATATCATTGTTGCTGCCAAAGAAAATGTGGAAAATTAAATGAAGGAACCAGAATCTTGATGCTTGAAAGCCGAGGAAAATAGTCCTGCTTTCTTTCCTACCTCCTGTTGTTCGACCTGAGACAATCTCCAGCACGACGTTGCTTGGATCAAGAGGGTCAACAGGTACAAGAGCTTTGATTAACTAGAGAGGAAATACAGGTGTAAGTATGACAACAGGAAGAGCTGGTTGGGATCAAATTGTACAGTTTTACATCGTATTTGAGTTTCAACTCATGTTTCTTCTGCTCGATGCCTCTGTGGCCCTTACTGGATCCATTCTGAGCTACTATCTTTAGAAACCAGAATATGCCGGTATCAGTGTTTTAGTTTGGAACCCCAGGTTCCAAACTGACACTGACCTTGAAAAGCGTGATCAGTGACATTAAAGCTCTGTAGATGTTTGCACAGGACTCACATGTTTCCTCAAGGTCAGAATGTTGGTGCAGATCTGCGCCTCCTCCTCTCTGAGCATCTGGATCAGGTTTTGATCTTCATCTTTAGTGCCAGCTGAGTATCCACAGGTTCAAAATGAGCCTAAGACACGAATATTCCACCCTGAGGTTAGGAATACGAAAGGTTTCAGTCGCTACTCACTGTGCAGAAGCGAAAGGACTTCTTCCAAGTCTTTCTGGGCTTGTTCAATGCTTCCAACCAGACCAGCAACAGGCAGCAGCTCTGTGTGCTTCTTCAGCAGCGCTTTTCTGTCTACATCACTGAGGTGATCGTGTTGTAACTTCCGGCTGATGTCTCTGTGTTCCTCCACCAGTTTCTGCAGATACCTCTGAACTGAGTTGTTGTTGTACAAATCCCCTATGTCACAATGTGAGAAGCGTTTTGGGACCGCATTGATCCCTCGGAGCTGCGCCTCCGTAAAGTTAGCATATCTTAGCCTGCCGTGGCCCTTCAGGGTCTCCCACGGAAACCCACGGCGTGAAACTACACGGCTGCAGTGACAACACAGTCCGAACCAGCGAGGGACAACCATTTTTGGGGAGCCGGTGAGGAAGAAAAGTTATTTCTGGCGCGCTCTGATGACGCAAGCACACACCGGAAGTAGCCGGAATTCTAGCAAGAAAGACTTCTGGGAAATGTCGTTTGATCTTTGGGTTATATTAGCAACTTATCTGTGTCCTATATTTTTTATCGGTTACATAAAGCTGTGATAAATAAGTGAAAAAGCTTCGTAGGGCTAAGTGTTAGCAACAAAATGTCGGAATTCCCGGATAACAAGGGTTAGGAAATGATACTAATATATATATATATATATATATATATATATATATATATATATATATATATATATATATATATATATATATATATATATATATATAAGGTTTAAATATTAGTCTAATATTTCTTAGCCGACTAGCATATTAGCTTCACGGCTAACATGCTAACAGGCAATACAGATACAAGTAAATTTCAGTTCAAATTTTTGGTACAAACTCAAACTCTTTTCTATCTGGCTGTATTGGACACATAATGTTTCACCTTAAATCTAAATGGGAAATATTCATGTATGAAGTGTTTCCATTTTTCTATTTCAGTTGGAATAGAAAGAGCAAGCTGGTTCAACTCATGACTTTTAAGTGTTTTATTGTGATGTGTTCAGGCTCCCGGGAATCCTGTGAGTTTTCATTAACTAAGGCGGTGGAGGACGTCAGCCAGCACAGCTACACCCAGACCGAGACCCTGAGAGAGAAACAGAACACTCTGAAAACCCTGCAGGTGCGTGTCATCGTTTGTTTGAGAAAATATGTAATATGCTATTATGATTCAGTGCATTTCCATTGAAGGCGGCTCTGGCTGACATTGAAAAGAAACGTCCACATGCGGAGCAGCAGCTGAGGTCCAAGTTGAGAGAAATCCACCTGCTGGAAGGAGAGATGGAGCATCTGGAGAGGCAGAGAGCGCTGCTGCAGGACCGCTGTGCCAGCATCAACAAGGAGAACATAAAGCTTCACATGCTCTTGCAGGACGAGGAGGAGAACGCCCGATTCACTCTGGAAAAATTCAGTGCGTACAGGAGAAAGATGAAAGGCCACAAGGACGCCGTCCTGCAGGCCGTGAGCCAGACGGAGGCCCACAGGGAGCTGACAGAGAACAGGATGCTGGTCTTGAAGCTGAGGCGGGAGAAGGAACGGCTCAAGGAGGATCTTCAAAACCCAAACGGGATAACCCTGCAAACGGCTAAGGTACAAAACATACTCAAAATGCTGTTAAAGTATTTGGTTTTTGAAAACTACCTTCTGTCCAGGAGGAAACTGATACCCTGAAGAGACAGATCTCTGAGAGTCAGACAGCCATCGCTGCTGGAAGAGAGCGACTGAAGAACGAGTTTGAGATCCATGCAAAGTTAAAGAGAGATATCGAGGTACAGCAGAGGATTGAATTATGCCCCAAAATTACAACAATTTATTGACGATTTTCTCTCCTTCAGATCCAAAACAGGCGCTATGAAGCCATCGTCAAGCGGCTGCGCTGCCAGCTCAGCAGAGCTCAGGCCGTACACAGGTAAAGTCATTCCCCCAAAGTCGTCTATTTCCTCTTGACATTAAACAAAATTTGAAAAATAATCCCTTTTTTTTTCAGGCAGACTTTGGATGAAACTTTCCACCTGCAGTCTGAGCTCAAGCAGCATTCTTCACAGGGTTAAAAATATTTAAAGTACATTATGTTTGTCTAACCTGGGTTATTTGTTCTGCTGGAGAATACATTTAGGCTACAAAGATACTTGCAACTTATAGAACGGTTCGTTTTTGTTCCTTGTGTTGAACAGGTGGGGGCAGCACCCTCCAGTAAATCTCTAGCTGTGACTGTCATCTTCTGTGTTCATGCAAACCGCTGATGGCAATTTAAGCTTTGCCGAATCCAAACGCTAATCCACCGAGAAATGATTAAATAAAGACACATTTATCTGGTGCAATTTGATGAAGAAGTCATTTCTGCAAAAGTAACAAAGCAGCAACACGTCTTGCACTTCACAAATTAAATGGCGTCACCATGAACGGACATTACGTTGACATGTTGAAGCAACATCTAATGACAACCAGGAAGGTAAAAGCAATATCTTAAAAATGGACAATAGTTTAAATCCTTTAAAATGAAGTGGTATTCTGCCAGTTGGGGTTCTGTTGTGTTTACAGCACCGCTCTGCCTCTCAAACTACCCTAAACATCCTCTCAGAACAACCGTCTCGCATAAATCCAACCAAACCGCATGTAAATTCAGTTTGTTCTCTTTAAATAGTCCAACCACATGCCTGCACGTTTCCACCCAGAGTCTCATTTGTCCACGCACGAACCATGAAGGACTATTTTTACACCTCGTTGACACAAATTAAATGAACACGGTGACGAAAATTAGTGGGATGGTAAATGTTCCTGTGCAGCGAGGAGCATTTTGATTTGTGTGATTTCTGTTTGAGCCAGCAAAGCCTAAGTGTTCAGGGATGCCAGGACACTCAGATGTGCTGATGCACTGCAACAGAACAACACACACAAAAAAAACAAAACGCAACCAATGCGTCATATTTGTTGTTTGTGACAGTGAGGCACAAACAGGATGGAGAGACAGTATCGTCGTTTCAAAAAAAGGCGGATCCACCTGAAATTGTCAGGTCAGGATTTTCACAACAGAGGCGTGTTCATCGTCCGCATTGATCCACCCATCCATTTTCTCACACCCCGTCCCCAATGGGGTCAGGAGGTGTCCATCAGGGTGTTTTCACAAAACACCCTGAAACATCATTTTAGTGTTGAGTTGCCTGGCGCACAAAATGTTAAAAATAATCCAATTTAAAACAAACAAAACATCCTGTGTGAGAATGTAAAATATCCTGAAACGAACCTATAAAACTATTTGACTGTTACATTTTGTGTATGATTAGGGATGTGTGTTTGTGTGTGTGTGGTACTTTTCTAGCTGTGTGGATATACTCTGGCTTGCTGCCCTGTGCTTGTTACAGTGAAGCTGAGGAAAAGCAAAAGCACATGCCTCCAGGTCGGTTCTTCTAGTAATAAATTCTTTGAATCTGTGAGATGGAGCACTTTCCTGCTGAGAGCAGTTAAGGAAAACAGTAGGAGGGTGTTTTTAATTCGCTGTTTCCATTGAAGGATTTTGGTTCTTGACTTTATCTTCAAGGCAAATTGAATCTTACACTTCGGTCTTTTCGCTCCTTAAGGTTGGTCGATGATTCTTCTCGGAATTCGGTTGTTTTTTTTTTGTTTTTTTTTTTCTCGTCCAGGTTTTATTTGCAGCCTCCCTCCTGGAAAAGGACAGACACTATCAGAACTGTGCTTTCCTAGAGTTTTGCTTCATATCATCTCGCACTTCCACGAACAGGTGTTGTAATATTGTTGTGACAGAAGTTTTAGGAAAATCATTTTTGGCATTCCTTTAAAGCTTTTATGTGTCATAAAATGGTGTGTGTGTGTGTGTGTGTGTGTGTGTGTGTGTGTGTGTGTGTGTGTGAAGGGGGGGGAGGGGGGGAATCATTGAGTTCAGTTGGATTGTTTTAATAAACACAAACAACCACGCAGTCGTCCAGACAGCCACCTGGGAAGAACCAGAACTAGAACCCTGAGAAGGACCGACATACACCTATGACTTGATTTAGGATTTGGATAGGACACACTGGGAAGTGTGTGGAGACATGATCTTCACCAGGGTGGAGAAATTCAAAAGAGACCCCTGTGTGACCTCTACAGGTTCCTAATTGCTCCCACTGGACCTTGTTAGACCAGACAGCATTTGAACACTCGTTTGGATCAACTTTAAACATTCTGTCTGCACACGTTGGTGTTCTGGGGTCAGATGTTAAGAATGAAACAAACATTTCAACGAGCCCAGTGGGTGAAGATTGTCTGTTTTCGTGTTCTCGGGATCGGAATTACAGAGGCAAACATCCTGGGTGTGGCTCAGTCTGAGGAGGTTTCGTATTTGCATAGACAAGACTACGACCGAGTTCCAGGAACGTGGGATGAAAGGACCGAAGCCGTGACGTTGATGAACAGTTTTCCAGGCATAATAAAGGAAACCTTTTACTGTCAGCATGTGACGGCGCTGCACCCTGTTCCACCCGAGTTACGCAAACGCAATCTCCTTCACTGGAAAGAGCAGCTCGCTTCCAGCTTGCTTCATAAAATCAAATGTTGGGCTGCATATTCAAATTAAGGATGAGCTCATGTTGTGTCAGGAGTGATAAATCATTTTCACGATATAAATGTTATATATGCTCCAACGTGTTTCTCCAGGCTTTTAGTCGGTGCTTCACAGCCACCCACGTAACACTGAGTCAAACAGTTTCAGCATCAGCATTACATCTTCATATACTCTTAAATTGACATTTAACTCCAAGGCCTCTTTTCTCGAACGTGCAATGTCTCATCTAACTGCTCAGAAAAACAAAATCAATTTATTTTAGTTTCGGTATTTCACAAAAAGGAACATGTTGACCTAGATTTTCTTTTTTGATTTAACAGGCCTGATGCAGACGCTTAGCAATATGTCCTGTCCAAAACATCCCAAAAGTGTTTGAAAGCTGCCGTTCCGTATTTCATATAAATTCAAAAGATACCTGTGCACCTCTCATAAATAAACCGCCTCATAAATGAACGGCACGCTGTGAGGTGCAGATGGTTTGGATTGCAGGCGTTGCAGGCATGGCCATAAAAATGTGCAGCAACAAGAGATGAGGAGGCTGATTATTGCCTCTCCACAGCGAGAAAGTAGGGCAACCAGACAACCAAAGAGAGGTGGGGGGGCCTCTCTGCGCTGGATGATGAAAACAAGCAGGAGAGAAGGAGGCTCGCCTTTTGCTTGTCTTCTCTCTGTAAACGTACTGAAACACCAGGGCAGTAAATTATGAATGGAACCGAGAGGGAAGAACTAGTTGGAACAGACTGGAACTGGAGCGTCTCCTCCTCTTTAGTGAGACCAGATGGAAAAGCTGCACAAACTGTTTCCTATTTATTCCCCAACAGCTGCAAATTTTATCACTGTGCAGTAATGCCTGCCCACAGGGCACAAAAACAAAACAAAGAGCTTCAGAAAGTCTGGAGAAAGCCTGACGGCGACGGCTCTGGAAGACATGAACAGAACAATAAGCTGTGATTTCAAACTTTTGCCCGGTGCAAAAAGCAAAATGATCTTTTTAGTCAATTTTTCCTGCCGTTTTGTGACTTCAGCTGAATTCTGCTTGTTTTTTGGCGCCTTTAGTTTTTCTCAACAGGGCCGTTCAGAGGATGGCAGGGGCCGCTGGCAGAAATTTTCGCAAAAGGGGGGCGCTGAGAATCCTTCGGCGGCCTTTGCTCGAAGGAAGAAGGACAAGGCGACTGATTTCGTTTCCTGTCCACAAAGAGGAAGCAAACAGGAAGCAGCGCAGCAATAAAGCCTGACCTCAGAATTGTCGGAGGTCAACTGTGTCTGCGAGGAGAGAGCTGCACTTCTGGGTTTCTGTGAGGAGATTCATGCATTCCTGCCAAAATCTCTACCCAGATGTCAACCAGACAGCATTCAGCTCCTCAGGTTAGCATGGAAAAGCCTCAGCGTTTGGCGAACACCTGCTCCGGCGTGACTATCACCCTCAATTTGCATGAAGGGGAAATAGTTCACCTGAAAATCTGAATAATTTTCAGACACAAACAATGCACCGGTTTCGTTTTTTTTCCTCTCAGCAGACACACCGACTGGGTGACAGTGAGTCCGCTGCTGCTCATTGTGTTTTAGAAACAGTGGAAATCACCTGGTCCTCTTCCACATTTGCTCCAAATGAAAATGTTCATAGATCACAGCAGGCTGATTGTAAACAATGCTCTTCATTAGAGCAGGAAAGTTCAGGCAAGCAAAACTTTATTGCTGTCTTGCCTTTGTCATCTCGGTTCAGTAGGGTTGCCATGTCTGGTCGCAGGTTGCCAGTCAACATAAGCATAATTGTTTACGGCGAGAATGAATGAAAGGTGAGACCGAGTTTCACTCTGGGCAAAGGAATGCAGCCGCCTTCCTTATAGTGGCACGGATGAAAAATACAGAACCAGTTCCACCAGTTGCACTGAGTGAAAACCATTACAGCAGCTACTTTGCTGAAGCGGTGAGGAGTGTTTGAAGAAAGGAGGGAGGTGCTGAGTGGAGGAAAAGGGAAAAGTGGAAGATGTAATGCATTAGTCACTTAGAGAGGCTTCAATATGATTGGCATCAATGTTACATTTTAACAAAAGCAACATTTTGTCACATTAAAACCACAAAATACAATAGATGCACTCAAATGGTAAACGGTGTGGATACAAATGTCCCACCATCCGGTGATATGGAAAATAAAGTGAGACGTTGAGAGTTCATGGACTGTATGAAATACATTTTCAGAACTATACTTGTCCTGTAGCAAAAACTACCACGTTAAATAATGTAATATTAATTGCACAACCTCTGTTCATTGCGTCGGAACGCTTGAGAACATTCTGGAGTTGGTTTTAGTTTCAGACTAACCCATCGGACCGCCCCACAGCCGTTAACCCCAAACAAACCCCCACATGACCCACACATTAAGCCACGGCTACTGTAACCGCGGCAGCAGACCTACTTCAGGAATGTCCACACTCAGACAGTGTTCCTCGTGTCGGCCTCTGGTGTAGCGTCAGATGACTCGCTCTGCAGCGGCGGCGGCGACTGACTCGGACTCAGGGGAGGGAGCCCTTATTGGCTGCATGTGTGTTTGCATGTGGAGCAGGAAACAAGACTCCTCTGGTGAATGATTTGATCAGATTGGTGCAGAAGGTATTAAAGAGGCTCTTTTACTGGAATTGGACATTAAATTAAACTATAAGCCCAGATTTACATGCTCTGGAAATTAGTATTATGTGCTTTAAGGTTTTCGTCTGCTTCCTTGACTTCCATCACAAAATCTGGTTTTAAGTGTTTGTGAATTTGGGATTTTTGCCTCCTAGAGACTCCGGGGTGACACACAAAGTGCCTCCTCCGGGCTTAGACTCTGGATGAGCTAATCCCCATGTGGAGCCCCTCACAGTTGGTGGACGCC